AGGTGGAAACAAAGGGTGGATGCGGCTATGCACCCCTGGCAGCTTTAGCCCCCTAATGATGATGATGAGGATGATACACACTGAAATGTATTTTCCATTTTCTGTGAATCATCTGTTGCAAGAGGTTCAGTCCCCGGCACCACACTCTCCCCAACTCCCACATAGGAAAATAGACTTTCTCTGTATATGCTGTAGTAGCATTGGGCCAATCAAAAGGAGGGAAGATGATAAGACTGTTTACATGTATTTCAGTGTATACTAGTCAGTTTCCTTCACATTTTACTCTGTGATATGTCATTGTACTTCTTATCTAACTGTATAAGTGTCTAGAATAATCTTTAAAACTTTATGGTGTCCACGGTAAAACTGTTGGGATAAGATTTTGTTTTTCAGTACTATATATCTTTGTAAATGTTATTAAGTTATTGTGAATTTTTAGTCCCATATTCTTGTTCTTTTCTTTTTCTTCTTGTGAGTTCCCACAGAACCTGAACTTTTCTTACTTTGCATCTTTCCTTTTTCTTTCACTATTTTTTCATCTTTTTGATGATATAATGAGTTACTTATCATTGTTTTTAACTAAAGCAATAAAGTTGGTAATGAATGATACAGTACTTTTCTCATATCTTTTCAGGTGATATTTCTCCATGGTCTTGGTGACACTGGGTAAGTTTCCTGAAAATCGGATTTTGCAATAATGATTTCAGAGTGTGAAATACACTTTTCCTTTAACCACCTGCTGATGGGGAGGGCATGTGCATACATGCCATGCCCAGTGTACATTTATCCCCATGTCACCGGGCATGGCATGTACATATATGCCATGCACCGTTGTGTGTGTTGAATTTAGTATTTGCTTTTACATATAGATGGCTCCACAAGTCCTTAGTCACCAGTGAGCCAATTATGTGGACCACCTGTCTCCTGTTTACCCTTTCCCTTGGTTTTCAATAATATTTTCTAGTATTTCATATTGCTTTTAGTAATGTAAGTAACAGTATAGTAATTATATTGTTTATAACAATAATAACAGTGTCAATATTGATAGCATTAGTAATAAAAAGCGTTTTCCCACTTTTTCAAGGGAAAGTGAGGTCACAAGATCTACTGATTGACTCCTTTGTGGCTAAGCATTGGCAGAGCCATCTATGTGCAGAAACATTTAACAAAGCATTGCCAAAGGGAATGCACCATTTTCCTGTTGACATTGGGTTAATTAATAGATGCCTCCACTAGTACTCGGTCACCAAAGAGCCAGTTACAAGAAATACTTGTCTCACCTGTTTACCCTTTTTCTTGATTTTCGAGATTATTTTCTAGTATTTGATACTGCTGTTAGTAATGTCAGTATCAATATAGTAATTATAATATTTATTAAAAAATAACACTCTCATTATTGATAGCAATAGTAAAATAAACATTTTCCCACTATTTTAAGGAAAGGTGAGTTCACTAGATCTACTAATTGACTCCTTTGTAGCTAAGCACTGGCAGACCTATCTATGTGCAGAAATATTTAACAAAACAATACTAAAGTTAATGCAGCATTTTCCCAGCAGCATTGGGTCAATAATCAAGAATATGTTTCAAGATATTTATTCATAAGTCAGAGAGAATATATGTGACTGAAAACCAGTAAAGTTGAAGCTGCTTGGTAGTGCAGTAATACTTTGACATTTATGAGACAGTGAGAAAATAATTATTTATTTATATAATTGGAATGGTATTGAAACAGGCATGATAGAATTGATAATCATTTTATAAAAATCAGTAACTTAGTGTCAAGCATGTCTTATGTTCTCTGTTTATTGCAGTCATGGCTGGGCAAGTGCAATGGCTGCCATTGGCTCACCTCACATCAAATTCATATGTCCCACAGCGTAAGTTGACAACATCATCATTTTCATTGTTATAGTAGTTTGTTGCTTGTTAATTCTTCTATTGCTGCTCCACATTTGAGGTTGCTACTGTGGATCATATGTTTTGTACTTATAACTCAGATTCATAATGTAAATGCAATGTATTCCTATTGATTTGATGTCTGACATTTGCCTATAGTATAGCTTACAGGAAAAGTGAATTTGATATTCTTCCTCTATTTATAGACCGGTGATGCCTGTAACTCTAAACAATGGATTTCGGATGCCCTCTTGGTAAGTCCCATTTTTATGCTAGTTTTGACAGATAATTTATGATATGAAGTATATATAAAATAAAGATTATTATGGTTATTTCAAGCAGACAGAGTAGAAAGATATATTGACTAAGTTTATGCATTTACTTTTATGTCAGATGATATTGCAAGCAAGCCAAGAGAAGTTAGATTTATGATACTCCAGCTGGATTACCAATGATAAAACATTTGGCAATTTTTCGTAATAACCACTTCCCGCCGGGTGGGATGTTTGTACATGCCATGGCAGTTGTGGACAAAGTAGTAGGTGGCATCAAACATGACTATTCTCATGAGCCATTGGCTCATGTGATGGAGCTTGTTTTTCTCCAATAGTGGCTACATCATTTCTATGGTAAAATTTTTAGGCAATAGCACCTAAAATGACGGTAGGCTGTCAGATATTTTATATTTTGTAAAATTGTATCAAAATACAAGTTTTTAGGTGCCTAGTGTTACCCGCAAACAACTGAATGAGCCAGGCACAAATGGCAGAAACTGTCAATGCATGCTAATAAACTTACGATCATGTCCACACGGTGTTATTGGATTAAGAAACCTTACAAGGAGAAGAACTTCACACTCACAATAAAACCCTGAACTGTTTCTTCACAGGTTTGACTTGAAGTCCCTTGATGTTGATGGTCCTGAAGACAGTGATGGCATCAAGAAGGCTCGCGATGGGATCCACCAGCTGATTGAAGAGGAAGTAAAGGCTGGCATCCCTCATGAGAGAATCATGCTGGGAGGATTCAGCCAGGGTGGAGCTCTGGCTCTTTACTCCACCTTCACACACAGTCGTACTTTGGCTGGTGTCATAGGGCTATCTTGCTGGCTTCCATTACGGGAGGAATTTCCTCAGGTGAGATTTTATTTATTATTTATTATTTTTTTTCCACTCTTTTTTTCTATCTCTCAATGTCTGTTTTCTTGCTTTTTCCGTCCTGTTCAAAAAAGAAGAAAAAAAATATTTGAATGCATAGAATACAAATTCATGTACTGTACACTATGTTTTGTATGAATTTTGTTACACACAGAAGACTTCACAGGCAGTCAATCACCAAAAAGAGTCAATAGGTAGGCCCTATGTGGCAGCACCACAGCTAGTATTGATAATTCAATCTCAAGTCTCTTCTTAGTCAAGTGACTCATGACTATGAGCAATTGGATGTTTCTGACATAAAGTACAGGATGTCATAATTTATGTATCCAAAAGCAGACTCCATACTTTGTAAGTTGTTTTTGCTTAAATGCCGGTATTTCAAAGAAAATGATATGCAGCCCTGATATTTCCCCATGAAAAATAGAAAATTATATATATATTTTTTTGTTTTACCTGTGACG